CTCTTGGCATCAGACGACAATACTAATTACGCCTCATACCTTCTTAACTCTTTCCCAGCAAGATATAAAGCATGTAGAGGTATGTGGAAGTTCAGCCAACTTTTCGCAAAAAACTTTCCCAGAGAAAATAGTTTCACTAGCGTAGCTAACGCAAAATAAGGTATGTATATGCCTGAAGTTATGTATGTATGGGAGGGTCTTAGAGGGACCGAGCGAGTTTTTCTCACTATGGGCCTTGTATTTAGGAAAGCAAGATGACTACCAGCAACAGTAATAATATTTTAAGCCTTAATTACATTATTCCTGGTGATGAATTCGAAGATATTTTCACGTTAGAGATATCTGAAGATAAGCTGGTCAACCAGCTCAAACCAATGATCAGAAAGTGGTGGCCAAACCGATTTCAACATATCGATCCAAGTAAACTTATTCTCTACAAAGTACTTGATGTGAACATTGCTTTAGGTTTAATCGAACCCTTAAAAAAGGAGAAGGCGGGTAATAAGAATTATGGACAACGCTTGCATCTATTGGAAAAGATCTGTATACATTTTAATAACGATCAAGAAACATATCCCGATAGCATTAAGCCAAATGAAAAAAGAGTCAGCATCGTTGTATGCCTCCCTGACAATAGTTAGAACATCTTTATTCACAACATATAATAGCGATAGGCCTTAGCCACGAAGTATAATCGTACAAAGCGCCTCTCGGCCAATTTTTATGTATTATAAGCCGACTTCCGGCAACGTTTTTTTTATTTCTTTTATTCCATAAATAAAGTATTATTATTTTATCGGTACATGAGAAATGGGTCACGTGTGATGATGCAATGCCTGTGCGATATAAAAACCTATATTAATGGCCAGTATTCTCTTTCCCAAACAGAAATAAAATTTTATCTCACTTCAGAACGTAACACTATTTTTGTCCGAGCCTAATATCCCTATAAAAACGTAACACTATGTCTGAAACTAGTACACCTTATACTCCAGCTTCCACCTCCACTACTGTAGCTGGAAATGAGACGGTCTCGCTGGCGGACGAAATTAAAAAATATAAAATGAAGGAGCTTATAGATTTCTTGTATAAGGAGGAGGATTTAGGTCTTGACGATGATGACTTAGAGATAATTCGCAAGCAAAAAATAATGGGTCGTGACTTTCTCAAGGTAACCGAAGAAAAGCTTCGTAGTTATGGAATGGCTGCAAATTCTTCATCCAGATTATTACCGGCGCTAAGATCAGAATTGGTTAGTAAGTTTCGATCCATAGCTGATAAAGGTGTGCAGATGTAATAGAATACGCTAACAATACTTATCTTTAATTTAGCGTTCTACAGCCTCTTCGATTAGAAGTAATAACACAGATGGAATGAATCTCGATTACACTGTATATTATCGACTAATCGCGAAATAATGGAGCAATACGCAGTATGATTTCGGAAAATTTACTTGCCGAAATAAGCAAATATAATGGGCATATTTCGCTACGTACCCAGCATGAAAAAAAGTGTTAGTGAAATAATAGAGACGAAACTTACTTAACAAAGCGCCAGGCAAGACATTACACAATTAAGGATAGGTTTACTTGGTTTAGGCTGGACATTTGCAAGAAGGCTTTGTAACTAATATATAGTTTCCCTTTCAAGCTTCTCGTTAGCGTCATGACCGATGAAACGGGTCCCTTCAGAACCAGCTTTATCTAATGTATTGCAAATAAAAAAACTTTGTCGATTAAGATTTTCTCGTGGAACCAATTGGCCTATTCGAAATTATACATTTAATACAGGATAATTTAGGTGATTCATTGATCGATAAGTTGGATTATCAACGAAGATCCAGAGACATTCATGTTTTGCAACGATCACGGCAGATACTTAGTGTATAGGAAAACAAGTTAGGTGCGTTACTTGCAAGATTGATATTTCAGTAATTTCGAACTTACTATATTTGCGGAACAAGATAGGAGGATGTGAAACAAATGTTAACTTATCCTTGAAGATCTTTGATCATAGGGATGAAAGTAATATAAATAGGGGAAATTACTTCACACTTCGCACTTCGCAACTTCACTCTTTACAATTCATCACTATGGCTAGTGAACCTTCGAGCGCCACTATAGCCAGTAAACCTTCGACTAGCACTTCGGAAATTCAAACAAATATTCCAGAGCCTTCCCAACTCGAAGTACTTGCATTAAATTATCTTCGAAATCAAAAGATTTCAACTATACCCAGCAGAATTCTGAAACTCAATCCTTGCAGTATTTGCCAAAGAGTAATCCTAAAATTCTGATTCCAATCATTCGTTGTGTTGGGTTGCGAACACCTTTTCCACCGCCAATGTCTTGAGAATTATATTATGCAAGCAGAAACAGATCCTTTTACTCTTATATGCCTTTCGTATAATGTAATCATCGAGCTGACTAGAGAAGAAGCAGTACTCGCCTCTGGAAAATATCATCTTCAGAAAAAACAAACTGATACTGAACAGGGTAATGAGGATCTCATGGCTTCGCTAGGATTGGTAGAAGGTGGCTCTCGTGTTGGGCAGAGGGGTCAATCGAAGCAAGTCACTATGCAGGATCAGGCGACAAGTCCAATCATGTTTGAAGATGATGATGATAACCAGTCTAATTCTGTTGATAATAGGTAAGTGGAGCAAAATCCACGTACAGCGTCTCTGGCCATTCTTGCATACATTTATGCAATAGCAGTTCTCACTCTCGTCTTTTATATATCTCCAGAACTCCGGAAAATCAAGCTAATTCTAATGATGAAATCTGCGCCACTAATACACAGGATAACTTGGAGAATCAATCTAATGCAAATAGCGGGGATGACACCAATATGCAAGAAAGTGAATCTCAATCAAGAAGAAATTCATCAAGAAGACGGACCTCTCCAAGGATAACTCGTGAACAAAAAAAATTCCAGGCCCTGTTGCAAGAGTTATCTACGCCCGCTAAAGGAGAAAGAGCCGAAAATGTTGATGAGAAGGAGGATGCTGATGGATCTGTATCACAAAGCTTAGCCTGATTATATCAAAAGGCAACTCGTACTGGATTACGCAAATCAATATGAAATTTTGTGTTGGTATAAATATGCTGAAGGATTCGAAAATAGGGTTAGGAATATTAGAACTCAAGATTCATCAGTTACCGATCCAACAGCTAGGAGTTGAGCATACCGTGAAGTCTCTCAACATCTTCCGGGAATTACAGAAGCAAATTTGCGTAAGAAAACCCAGAAGGCAAGGAATATATACAAGGTGTTTGTGAGGATAGGAATAAACAAGATCAAGTGGGTGAAATCATATAGCGCCGATGCTATCTCAAACTTATCTAGTACCCAAATCCAAAGCATTATAGACCGTTTCTCTACTTAATTACAATCACGTGATTCCATGAATAATATTCACGCTATCACGTGACTACTGTGCACATCCGCGATGTTTTAGCATTTTAGCATTTTATTAATTAATAAAATTCGTCCACATCAGGGGGTTTATCTTAGTTTTAACAGTATAGTGGGTGTGTGAAGTAATAAAACAAATCTGGGCACTTCGCTAGCACTTTAAATCACGGGCGATCTGCCAATCAGAAATAAATTAGTTGTAGAAGTATACTGAGATCAACATGATGCTGATAGCATTATATGTTTCTCTTGCTACCTCACTTTATTATTTAATAAAATTTTGCTTATTATATTTGTTAATATCGATATGTATTGGAAAATTAAGTTGCGCAACTATATTATTTATTTCATGATTTATTACATTTTTATGATTTAAAATGAAAAGTTATATATACATTGTAGCATGCAATAAAAATCTATTTATGGTTCATCTAGTGTAATAATACGTTATTATTGATAATGAATAATTCTAGTTAATTCCCACGAACTGGTTTAATTTCACATGAACACTGTATATCCAGATATTTAAAGTTGTAAAAATCTTTTCAATCTTCTTTCTTCCTTGCGTAATTTTGCCGACTCGTTGTCCACGATCTCACTCAAGCCAAAATCAATAAAAAAATAACGGCGACTCTTTAGTTCATATAAAATATTTTGCTTGGAGATATCATTGTGTAGGACGCCACAATGATGTATCAACTTGAGCTGGTTTACTATTGATTTTTTATCCTCTTTAGTGAGTCTTTCCGGATCAACGTGATGGGCATCCTCAATTAATTGTAATACTAACACAAAAAGATATCTGTCATAAATATAACCTTGATGGAACAAATGTGAAATAGCACAACCTAATATTATTGCAATTGACAAGTTAATAATATCTAAAAATATTATGAATGAAAAAAAAAATCGTACCTTGACATTCTTTCAAAATGGAATAAACATAAGCCTCATGTTTTAGCATTTTTATCGCTTCTTGCTCTTTATACGCATCACAAGTCTTCCATGCCACGAGTTGACCATTATAATAACCTGAAAAAACTTTCCCAAAGGTTCCGTCACCTATGTATTCACCTATTCTAGTGACTCTTTTGGAAGATGATGCGATCACTCT